ACACCGTCTGCCAGCCCGACGGGCCTAGTTTTTAAACTGCTGCCCCTGGGGTAACTGGGGAAACTCCCAAGAACCCAGGAAGAGAGGACAGCCAAAGAGCGTGTTCTGAGTTCTCCCATGAATTCATGCAGCCTCGCAGGCCCCTGGTGCAGGCCTCTCCTTTTGCCCGACCACACTGCACACTGCCACCGTTCCCCTTCCTTAGTGAAGGGAGCCCTGCAAGTCAGCCCCCTGCCAGCCTGGCCAGGGAGAGACTGGAAAGAGACCACGGCTGGTTCCTAGATCTCTGTGAGGACTGCTTTGCATGCAGCTCCTGCATCCTCTCCCCACCTCTGAGCCCGGCCTGCAATGGTGTCAGCAGTGATGGTGTGAAAGCAGTGCTGGGTCAGCCTGTGAGCAGCCCAGACCCTCCCCCAAGGGAGCTATGACCAGATGCTGCTTGACAGCTATGCGCTGACAGCCAGTGCCAAAATCCTTGAATGCTTCCACATGAGGCGGGGGCGGGTGGGGGGGGAGGAGGTGTTGGCTGGTTGAAGCTAAAAAGCATGAGCAGGGGGTAGCCTAGTGGGCACTGGAAGGACTCACGGGCAAGCTGGCCACTTCCACCTGTTCTGCCCACAGGCAGGGCTTCCTCCCCTCAGAGAGCACCTGGACCTTTGGCTGGAGCATGGGCAGGCAGTAGGCACTGTGCCAGGGAGAGCTGCAAGGCCCTGGCAGCACCCTGGATGGGGGGCACTCCTAGAGTGGCCACGCTGGCTCTTTTGCTCCTGCCAGATGGTGTATGCCCAGACCTTTCAGAACCTGCACTTGCAGACCCTAGCGCCACTCCATGCCTTCCTCCGAGCCTGGATAAAGCCCTGCCAGCTCTGACGGGCTTTACTGACCCACACTGTTCACCACCTGGCTCTGCCGCCCAGCCACCCAGACTCAAGGTTTGTTGCACCCACTAACCAGGCAGACAGCTTGGCCCATATCCTTATGAATGCTCCTCGGTAACCCCATTTACAAAGGGCAGAGTCAGGTCCAGAAAGGCCAGTGGATTGTCCCAGGCTACCCAGAGTGCTAGGACTGGAACTCAGGCTGGTACAACTCTGAACCTGACAGTCTATGGGCAACAGCTCAAGGTCTCTTGTATGGAATATCTAAAAGCAGAATCATAAATATGTTTTTGTGAGGAATTTTAGAAAACACAATCAAAGTGCAAATTAAAAGCAACAAGGCTCGGCATTGGCAGTTGATGTGGTGGTTAAGGCACTGGACTCCCACATGGCTGACTTTGTTTCAAATCCTGGACCTGGTAGCTTACTTTCTCACTTTCCCACTTTCTCTCTCTGTCTCTCTGATAAGTGCATGTGCCCTAGAGCAAATATTTTCAAATAATAATCATAAAGTAGGTTAAACAATTCTTTTTTAAGAAAGCAGCAAAAGTAGCTTCCACAAATTTAGAAAAAATGGAATTTGATGGTAATATTTCTCTTTTTTCTTAAGTTGGGTCTAAAATTTTTGTTTATATAGTTTTAAGCCATGAAAAGGCATGCCAAATGTTAAATATGTTGTAGAGATAAATACTGTTTTTACTAATTTTTTATTTATTAATTTTAATTATTATTTACACATTTAATCTGTACACATCATTTGGATTGTAAAAAGACTTTACCCAGCATGACACACACTTCAGTCCAGCCCCGTTGAGAATATATGCACGGCCTCATCAACAAATAATCAACCTTATCCGCGTCCCACAAATGCCTTACTCTCCATTTTTTCCCCAGATTTCCTTTGCTACGCTCCTTGTTGATAATATTTCTATGGCAAGAAATTTTGTAGATATTTATTATGAGATAATGACTTCATGTAAGTTTTCTTATATTTTGAAAAAGTCTTTTGATGAGCATACTCTTGGAAATTAATGCAAGCAGGCATGACAGAATTATTTCATTGTGTGCAGAATTTTGCTGCTGCAAGAACTAAGATGGTTTATTTGATATCTCTATAAATAAAACCACTGGGTTCTCAATTCTCAAAACAGCCAACTGATTTAAAATCATGAACAGTTGGAAATTTCACTCCACACTCATCTTGGAAAACCATCCTTCACAATACTGGTCATTGCTGTAGATGACAAGCTCAGTGTCACTAAGACTGCCAACCCTGCTTCCTGGTTCATCTGGCAGATGGCATGCAGGACAATAGGCACAGAAGTGCGGAATGGCGAACCAGAGGCATGGATACCAGAGCAGTCACGAGATCTCTGGTCTGTCCAGTCCACTCAGTGTCCACATTAAAATATTTCTTCAGAGCCCATCTCTTTGGAAATGTGTGGCCTGTGTGTGACATGGCTGGGAACTCCCTGCCCGGCTGGAGGAAGGCTGAGCGTCCGCTTCCCCAGACGGTTCTCAGGGCAGACTGGGATTTACGTGGACAGCCAGATGCTACAGCTGCCTTTGCTTGAGGGCGGAGGCCAACTACGCTTAGGTTCTCAGTTGCAAAGCGGCACGCTCTGCTTTGTAACCCTGTGGCTACAGACCCCATCAGTGGAATCCCAGCATGAAACATGACAGATCCTCCCTCAGCAAGCGCCACATCCCTCCCCAAAGGACTGGCGCCTTCTTGTCTGCAGCACTGAAAACCACCGAGTCTTCGTTCAGGTACTTGGTCTTCCTGCCCAACCAGACCGGAAGGTCCAGGACTCTAACTATAGTGGGCTGTGAGCTAGTCCTTACTTTATTTTTTAAAGATTTATTAATTAATTTAATTGAAATTTTTATTATTATTTTTAAATTTGACCACACACAGAGAAAGAAAGGGAAAGTGAGAAAGCAATCTGCCAGATTCAGGACTTAACCCATAGTCGGATACATGGAAATCCAGAGCGTTTACCAGCATGTCACCCACTGGCCCCACTAGTCCTGATGTTAAACTAAAAGGAGCAGTTTACATGTGTGAGACATCCTGGCCGTATACTTACATCTAAGTTTCCTAAATAGGACACTCGGTCTGGAATTCTTAATTTTGCAAACACAGTTTATGCACAGCGTGTTCTAAGACGGTCTCAGGAACATGAAGACCTATGTCAAGTCTCTCATTTCTAAGATGAAGTTGTGGGCCAGCCCATGACAAGGTGGTTAAGGTGCCCGGATCCCACATGGCTGACTGTATGGTTTGAGTCTTGGACCCAGAGACTTGAAAAACATGCTGGGCAAATGTGAGTGTGTGCCCCAAATCCTGAGAATAAAATGGAGAGGAGGGGAATGCAGTGTGGCCATACTTCTGGCGGGTGATTCCTCAATTTTCCTCTCACTATCTCTCTGTCTGTGTCTCCAGTGAGTGCATGCACCCTGTGACAGAAAAAAAACAAACTTGCAAATCAACAAATCCCATGAGAATGGGGACCACAAAAAATATTTGTTTACTCAATTCTGTTTCTAGAACATGCTATTTAAATCCCAACTTAAAAGACAGCAGAAGACAGCCAGACAAAGACATGGGAAGCACATTCCAGGCAGAGAGAACAGCCTGTGGACAGGCCCCTAGGAGTGAGGGAAGAATATTTAAGGATCTGAAAGTGGTCCAAGCAGCCGAAGCAGAAAGCCAGGGGAGGAGGCCAGGAGGTCAACTGGGCAGACACACTCAGCTTGCAGTCTTAGGAGGGCCTTGTGCCCTCTGTGCCATGGAAGCCAGTCATCAAGGGTGAGCGGCCTGGGCTGTCTCAGATGACTCCAGTGCAGGCACAAATGGAAAGCGGGGGCAAGTGCAGAGGCAAGGGCGTGGTTTGGGAACCAGAGCAGTGTCTGGCAAAGAGCAAGTCTGCACGCTTCCCACCTCGGAGCCTGACACGCAGCCCGCACACAGAACGGGGTGATCGCAAAGTGAGCAAACCAAGCCGTCTTACTGACTGCAGGATAACTACCTTTGGCTCAGGTGGCTAGGATTTGTGCTCCTGTTGATCAGGCAATGTTGTGCCTTTCTTTCCTTTCAAAACACGAAAGTGACTGGGTGTTGATTTCATGGAGCAAAATAAAAACGCTGCAGGAACACACATTCAACAGAAACATCTTGAGACATAGAGTGTTTGGCTAAGAGTTTGGTATTTGCCATACCTCCCTCTGCCCCACCCCCAGTACCCTGGAAACTCACAGCAGTGAAATGCAAAGGGGTACAAGCAGCCAAAAGGGAGGGCCCAGGAGGAGAGTCCTGCCCAGGGACTTCCTGGAAACTGGGGAGGGGTGGAGGCTCTGGGGCAATAGTTGATCTCTGTAGTGAGGTGCCTTGTCATGGATGGAGATGGATGGAGAGAAGGCCATTGTGGGAAGGGAAAGCTCCCGCATCCTGGGGGTGGAGTAAAGCAGAAATAGAAACTGCAGTAGGAGCAGCACCAGCCACCCAGCCCCCACGTCGGGGAGACAAAAGGGCCCTTGGGGAGCGAAGGTCTTGGCCACCTCCTTTGAGGGAGCTCTGGGCGTTCCTGGCCTGCCCAACCAAGAGCAGACGGGCCTCTGCAGC